GTGTCCGTGGGTAGAATGTATGGAGTGTTGTCGCGTGGTCTGTTGGAGTTTATCACTTGCAGACTGAGTACCATAAAATCAACTTGCCTTTGATAATGCACAAGCTAAATGGACGACCTGCACATTGTTCTAATTCCCTTCCTGTTTAGAATGAAACATGAATTTGTAAACGCCAAATGGTCTTTTGGCCGTATACTCTCCGTATCACAACGTCCAGATGTACTCATTGTCCCTCTGTTAGTCATGTCAACAAGTTGATGCGCTTATGGGGATGGAGTGCTGAGGATACATATAGATGGAACTACTTTCACAAAACAGGAGCATTGATCAAAGTCATGCATTCCCTTCTCTCTCTCCCTCATGCTTCTGTTTATGACCACGGTGACCACCACACAAAATCTGATCTAAGGTCATCTTCGTATTGTAACTATTGATACCACAATTCTTTCAATTAGCTCTGTCCATGTATCTGATTAATATCTCTTTTGGAAAATAGTCATTATTCACATTACGTTGACAAACAACAGACAAATGCTAGCATATTGTTCGACTTAATCCTCTGATTGAGATCAATGATGCTTTGCGGGCAGAGATTTAACGATAATTGTATAAATCGTTACTGGCAGATGAACTCAACAAGCCATTTGCTTCCGTAGCAAGATAAGACGAAGGTCCTAAAGCTGTCATTACAATCCTTGCATTATCCCGTACAGAGAGTACTGTAAATTACTGGGTCTTGTTGGATGAAGTAAAATGTCAGAATAATTGTATTGAGGGAGTCAGTGAGGTCGTTGTTGTCGCTTTAATGAATGAAACATCGTATCCATCATTTCCCATACAGCATGCATGGGATGTCGTTATGTAGGATGATGCAGAATTTGTAGTATCAGTGAAGACGTTCAGTGTATGGACATAACAACTGCGCATGTGATTGATTAACGGTACCGCTGTCTGAAACACCACATTAACATTAAGAATGTGACATCCGGAAGTAATACATCAGCGTGTGAAGTCTCACATGTTCGTAATTGGTAATGAGAACAATTGGTTTAACAAGGACTGGAAAGAAACAATAATGCGTAAATGAATATTCATTTCAGGCATCAGAATGTTTCCCTAACCTGAGGTTTAGTACGTTTTGAAAAGTCTCGGTTGCCCCACATATTTGTTGAAGTATATATGGCATGTGCTTTACATGCAGCCATATGCCCCGACGTGACGTCACTGAAAAAAAGGTCACTTCAAGGGTAGTGAAATATAGAGGCGACTTTGCTACACATGAAACTCGTCAACACCTCTTCCTTCCAGTGAGATCATCAGCAAATATTTAGAATATTATCTGTTTAATTGCTACACACAGCAGAGATAAATAACGATCTAAATGCGACCAACCATGTAGTCACTTAAATAATGGATCGCAGACTCTCGTAAAAGGACAACAAAGGTATTGCTTACCCCAAAGTTTTGCATTATCTGCATTAAGTTCATCGAATACATTATACTACTGATGCTTTATATGAAGATAATATTTGTAGTAGTGCACTCTCTCTAAAATACCTAGGGAGCACTTGAACTAATCGAATCGGTCGGTACATGCATGAAGTCATATGGTAAAGGGAAATGTGCTAATGAAGATCGTCTATATATCTATGCTACAAGAGATTATCATGATACATAACTATCGATAATAACGAATCCCGCAATATACAAGCTGCCAGTGTTGTGGGACACAAAAATGGTCTAATGGCAGCTGACGTAATATGCAAGATGCCAGTACTGTGGGATACAAAGATGGGTTACTGGCAGCTGACGTAATATGCAAGTTGCCAGTATTGTCGGACACAAAGATGGTTTACTGGCATCTGACGCAATATGCAAGTTGCCAGCATTGTGGGACACAGAAATGGTCTAATGGCAGCTGACGTAATATGCAAGTTGCTCGTATTGTGGGACACAAAGATGGTCTAATGCCATCTGACGCAATATGCAAGTTGCCAGTATTGTTGGACACAAAGATGGTCTAATGGCAGCTGACGTAATATGCAAGCTGCCAGTATTGTCGGACACAAAGATGGTCTAATGGCAGCTGACACAATGTGCAGGTTGCCAGTATTGTCGGACACAAAGATGGTCTAATGGCAGCTGACGTAATATGCAAGTTGCTAGTATTGAGGGATACAAAGATGGGTTACTGGCATCTGACGCAATATGCAAGTTGCCAGTCTTGTAGGACACAACGATGGTCTACTGGCAGCTGACGCCATTTGCAAGCTGCCAGTGTTGTGGGACACAAAAATGGTCTAATGGCAGCTGACGTAATATGCAAGCTGCCAGTATTCTCGGACACAAAGATGGTCTACTGGCAGCTGACACAATATGCAAGTTGCCAGTATTGTCGGACACAAAGATGGTCTACTGGCAGCTGACGTAAAATACAAGTTGCCAGTATTGTGGGACACAAAAATGGTCTAATGGCAGCTGACGTAATATGCAAGCTGCCAGTGTTGTGGGACACAACGATGGTCTAATGGCAGCTGACGTAATATGCAAGTTGCCAGTGTTGTTGGACACAAAGATGGGTTACTGGCAGCTGACGTAATATGCAAGCTGCCAGTATTGCGGGACACAAAGATGGTCTAATGGCAGCTGACGTAAAATACAAGTTGCCAGTATTGTGGGACACAAAAATGGTCTAATGGCAGCTGACGTAATATGCAAGTTGCCAGTGTTGTGGGACACAAAGATGGGTTACTGGCAGCTGACGTAATATGCAAGCTGCTCGTATTGTGGGACACAAAGATGGTCTAATGGCAGCTGACGCAATATGCAAGTTGTTAGTATTGTCGGACACAAAGATGGTTTACTGGCATCTGACGCAATATGCAAGCTGCTAGTATTGTGGGACACAAGAATGGGTTACTGGCAGCTGACGTAATATGCAAGTTTCCAGTATTGTGGGACACAAAGATGGTCTAATGGCAGCTGACGCAATATGCAAGTTGCCAGTATTGTGGGACACAAAGATGGTCTAATGGCAGCTGACGCAATATGCAAGTTGCCAGTATTGTGGGACACAAAGATGGTCTACTGGCAGCTGACGTAATATGCAAGTTGCCAGTACTGTGGGACACAAAGATGGGTCAACCCATGGGCGCGTATATATAGATGACGCTAGCACTGTGTCACACACATGTAACATCGAGTCGTCTGAAGAGTGAATACATGCTTGCCGCCTGCCATGGGTACACGAAAATATAATGCTTAAACTATGAAATCACTACCAATGCTGCCAGTACCATGGTACATAAACAAAGGTTAACCAAGTCCGTCATTATACCAATGCTGCCAGTACCATGAAACATAAATACATAAACATTGGTTAGCCCAATCCGTAATTATACCAATGCTGCCAGTACCTTGTTACATGAACATGGGTTAACCAAACCCGTATTCAGATCAATGTTGCCAGTACCATGGTATATAAACATTTGTTAACCCAGTCCGTAAAATTTATACCAATGCTGCCAGTACCTTGGTACATAAACATGGGTTACCCAAGTCCCTAATCAGATCAATGTTGGCAGTACCTTGGTATATAAAGATGGGTTAACTCAGTCCGTAATTATACCAATGCTGCCAGTACCATGGTACACGGACATGGGTTAACCCATCCCGTGTTTCTTTCTATGTTTTACTGTATCATGGAACACAAGGATGAACTAACCCAGATCGTCTGTATATGAATACTGACTGACTGTCAGTATAAAGGAGCAGGAACAGATTAATGACGGTTGTCTTGTATACGAAAACTTCTTTACCACCTTGGATCAATCAGTGTTGCCTCAATATACAAACTGTCAGAAACATGGCTAAATAGAGACGTTAATTACCACAGCCACGATCTCATTGACGAACATACGTCGCTATAGAGATATATGCGGCTAGAAAAAGATGGATGCTAATGGATTTCCCAGCACTCGTACCTCACATGGGCCATTCCAGCAGGTACAAAACAATCGCTGCGTCAACTTAACAGAGGAAATAGGTCGAACACATTGTCGCCTACTTAGTATACCATTCTAATTAGGGGAATTGGTGAACTATTGACAATGATCACGCTACTCAGCGCGTGTCCTAACAGGGATTGGTCCCTTCCTTCTTTTTAGTAGTCAGTAATGAGTCAATTTTCTTACTTTACACAGCCGGATTTCTTTTCAACCACACAGTTTTGTAACGATTCTAATGACAGAGTTATATATGAAACAGCTATCAAAACAAAACGAGCTTGATAATACAACGACAGTTTCATATTAAATACCCAGAGGTTAAATGGTTCAAAATGATTTCTCCTGTTTGTCCTATTTTAGCATTTAAGTAATGCGATGAGACAATATCTATATGAAGTCATCAGCGGACTTGAACAGAAGGTGAGCGTATTTCCGGTGTGTGTTCCATGTGCTTGGACGTCCTTTATACTCAGTGTTCAGACCACAAACTGTCAGATACAATGACCCCCGGATATCCCACCATCCCTAATTCCGCAGTACTGTGATGAAGTACAGACACGGTTACTGTGAATAGTACTGTAGAAGATGAAACCAAAAGATCAAACTTTATCAAATATACATAAGTAATCTTATCATTACTTATCCAGGCAGGTCAATATTTCAACGTTGATAAATAGTGTATCATAGGTACAAACATCCACATTCTTTACTCATGAACCGAACCACAAAAATATACTTCAGTTATGATAAAAGTGCGAATTGATCGATTTGTTATGCCAGGATTTGCGATTGATGAAAGTCAACCCGATATGAACTAAATGTAATATGAAAACTTTCCCACTTGTCTATGTTGCTTATCGCTACAGGTAAACAAGCCTGACCAAACTGCTTGACGAGATAACCATACGATATAACGATATAACAAGGGAGTAATGCCTCACACATCAACACAGTTCTCTAATACAACAGCGCGTAACAGTGAAAGTTTCTCACCTGGGTGCGTGCACAGATCTCGGCGTTAGAGACACTTGATTGGAGCAAAGGTTCGCTTGGAATGGTCGCAGCTAGAGAGGTTCTCAATTTAAGTCTTTGAATAATCAGCTTGTTCACGTCGGAGGTAGGCTAAAATCGATGATGCTAATTGGCTGTATATTAAACTAACCGACCATGTGTACGGGTGTTTAACTTCGACGGGCCTACGAGCACTTTCCATAAATGGGCATCATCTTCATGCGTAAGCAGGGAAGTCGCCAAGCCTTGTCGAGATAGCAATTCTCTGGGTTATCGTTTTGCATCAGATTGCTACCAATTCGCAGAGTGACAGCAGGTTGAGTGCCTGGAAACAACATTAATGGTTTGTGACGTGAGAGAGGTACTATATGATTTACCATGCAGGGGTGGTGTGTTAACACAGTGCCACGAGATATCGATAATGACAATTTTCTGGCTTATTAGCAACTACTCAAGCAACTGTTCGTCAGAAACTGATATCTGTCAGTACCTTTTCAATGTCTCAGCATTTTCTAGTTCATGTATTGCAGTACAACCAAAACCCCAACTATTCAGTACTTCAGCGACATGTGTGAGATGCCATGTAATAGTGTATCCATGACAGTTCTATTAATATTCTTCATTGTATGTTTGGATTATTTCTATTAAGTGTTTCACTGTACATTGTTATTTTTCATGCCCGCTGTAGTGTTAAACTATGGGAAACACAATGTCAATTCCAGTCATCTGATTGTTGTAGAAAGCAAACTCTTTGGTTGCCAATACAACACACGTAAAATTCCTCGACACGTGGTTCGAATGAGAATATTGTCTTTCCGTGATTCTGCTAATCTGGTCTGCTTGGAACTGAGCTATTGACACAGGACAGAAACACCCCAGGCGGCGGTACTCCGTGATCATGTTTTCTTCATTCACGTTTCTATACATGACAATATTCACAGTGCCTTGATGTTGAAGATGTTGTCCCTGAGCCATATACACTTTGCCATTCTGGTATGTCTTCAACTGTGCCAATTTGTTGAACCATAGTATAATAGGATATTATGATGTGAAAATGGGGGATGGTTATTTAAATGTGTAAAGATCAAATTGGAGCTGGGTTCCTATTGACACTTCGCCTAGTAGCCGTGGGGGTAAATCTATCTGTCCTGCAAATCAATACTAAAAGAGATTTAACGGATCAGATTCCTATCCAATATTTTCTTCACTTTCTTAACACTGAGTGAAGACAGGCGGAAAATACAGTAATTTTATCTCAGTTACACAAAATCAAATTTCTCCAAATAATAATGTTTTTTGGCTTGATGACATCATGATACGTTTTTTGTCTAATTATTTTCAAAGAACTCGGGAGAAAATCTGTAACTTCATGTGTTGGATTCAGTAATTGTCCGTAAGGGAAATCGATGTTTTGTATGCAGCAAGAAGACTGAAATTTACTTCGTGCTCTCAGGAAGGTGAAGCCAGCGACCTCTGTACAAACAGTACTGCACTGACGGTAGCCTGTATATATGTTTTACTACAAGCCGTGTCATAGCGGGTTTTCACTGGAACCGTATTGGATAAAACACACGAACCAACTTAGCTTAACAAACAAGGCATCCAGACCTAAATGTAGTGCCAACAAACCATCCCATCTAATCATGGCCTGATTCCTCATTCCGTATGGAGATATGTGATGGCCATGAGGCGTGATTAGCTAGGTCCCTATCACAGCGAGGGGTGTCATTCACTGACTCTCCCTTTAGAACTGTGCTATTACACTGCATCACAAATACCGCTTGTCGCTCGGGTAGGATCCCAGATTTGGTCAATTATGATCATCTAACGGTGATCACCATATCCGTCCTAGTCAGTTCCAAATTGAAAAAAGGGTATCTTGCAAAAACGTCGTTAATATCATCAGAACAGTTCATACAATTAACAAAAACTATTTTTTGTTTGCTTTAAAACTGTGTATTGTATTCACAAAACACGTGGGTTTAATCTTTACTACTTTATAACTATATCGAGGTGTAAAGATACCTCGTTTACCACTCACGAGAACTGAGTGGTTAGCACACGTTTTCTCCCTTCACTTTAGTCTTAAAGCTATACTATTATCTGCTAACTCGCAATCATTCTACAAATTTAGCTGCCTACACATTTTGGTTTAACGTTGCACGCTCAGGTTTACTGCCACAAACTGCTTACTGAATAGTGCATTTATATTCGAAGTGCGAGCATACATATCGATACATTTATCTGGTATCACAGTATCAACAGTGACTGTAAGCAACAAGATTGACAACAACAAAATACAAAGATGATGAAATGATTCCCTCTACTGAATCATATAGGATATTGGCATTTACACATGACCTCTAGCACATTGTACGTGTGGAACATATGTTCCTACATCAATCATGTTTGCTGTAGGGAAGCACATGGCATATGTTTGGGTTTTTTCAACGGTAGCATGAGCTTATGTTAATGAGGTTCTCGGTGAGGATATATTTATTCTGTTTTCAGGATTTCTTGAAATCATTACTTCAGCATCATTTGAACTTTCAGTTAGTATACTGCACCCACCTAAGATGAGAGGTACCAATCCGGTCGGGACTTAACAATCAATATACCGGGTTTTTATTGCGACCACCAGGCACTGTGGGATCCATAAATGCCTGTGGCATGTCTGCTGTGGGAGCATTAGTTAAGTACATCATAATTAATTAGGATTTCTCAGAACACCTGTCTTCACATTGCAGGACAATTGCAGCTACGTATGATAATTCGATATTTCACATTAATAACAACGTCGCCCATGTACAAATACGTAGTGAAATTCATCGCTTGCTGAAAAGTGCACATACTTCTAGTATACAGGAAAGCTAGGTACACAGTCATTTCGTGCTGGAGACGTGATCAATTGTTTCGAAAGGAATACCACTGATGTGAACGCAAGGCTTTTGTTCAAACGAATGCATACGTGAAAATTACCGTTGGAATGATCAGTTCTGTCATGACAGCAGGCTTATCGATAAGTGGAGTTTCACACTATCATTTGAAAGGACCATTGCCTGTCATAAGCACGTTATCAAACAACAAGATTCCATGCTAAACTTAATCTGTTTTGAGTCATTATGACAATACATATATATTTGACATTGTAAAGACAGTGTGATAAATTCGTCCAGCAAACTCTCCTTGGACCTGTTACCGTTATGGTATGAAACACGCAATGACACTGTCCTTAACAGTAAGAACAGTCGCGGTGTTCTACCAAACGTTCTATGCGCCGTAAAACATGGGTACTGTGTCTAAAATAGAAAAATAACTTAAAAACATTTCATGAAAGTTTCCGAGACAACATACATTACTAAACCACCAATTCTAAAACCGTACCTGAACTAAAGCCATCAAATGATGACACGAAAGTACTTGCCAGCAGAGCCTTTGTTATGACAATCTGCACACTTGACAACATTTATGGTAAAACTTCTTTGATGGGCATTCTTAGAAATTGTAGAGTCAGATAAAGACAAACCATATGGATAAACAACTTCTTTATTCAGGCGACGCGACGTTTCTATACAGATCACTGGATCATTGTCAAGCATTTATTCCAAACATAAACTCAAAGACGTTCTTAATACATCAAATCGAAAATTAGCTATCCTGCTGTTATAAAGTTAACCTTTAACTTCCAACTGTACACACCAATGTTCACAATGTTAGAAAGATGCTGTATGCAAGTCAGTCTGAACACGAAAGAAACCTTAAGTCTTAAACTGTAGAAAAACTTTTACAATACTGGGCATTCATATTGGATTCAATATCATTCAAATATAACTCAGATGAAACTGTTTTGTCCCAGCGGATCCCATTTGCATAGCCCATATGCCCTGAAATATCTAAACGTAAAACCGAACCTAACACAAACATTGCACGTGGACCATGTAAAGGTCGGTAGGGTTGAGGTCGTTGTTCATTTTCGGACCGGTGAAAGGTCGTGAAAGCGCTCTGAGCCATTGGTATTGTAGTTTTTCATTACCTATAGTAACACGTAAGCTCTCTCGTCTTGCTTTAATGTGGTATTTACCATCAGAATGGGAGAGCGTCGTCTACAACGTGGTGAACGCCTATGGGCTATTGGCGTGCTTCAGAATGAGGGGACTCGGCGTTCGGGAGGCAATATGTTCAATGTGTCTCAGTCTGTGATTTCCAGACTTTAGAACAGGTTTCTGTTGACACAAAATGTTAATGATCGGTCAATGACACAAGTCAAGAATCAATAATCAGAAACCAGTCTTTACGAAATCGACTAAAATCGCTTTTCACTTGCGCCAGGACGCTGGAGTTCACGTTACCGACCACAATGTTAGAAATTGTCTGCGTGACCGGTGACCATGTGTTGTACGGTTGTTCCACCGTTAACAAATCAACATGTTCTAGCCTGATGATAATGGCGTTTTAAGCATAGAAACTAAGGGACGGTCGGATGCATTTATACCTCTTAATTAAGTCATAACAAGCTTGAACGTCATATTGTTTGTCCCATCACCTGATGTTGGAGAGAATGGTATGCCTTCTGTTTCTTTTCTCAAATAAACACGTATCTGATATTCGCAGATAAGTACAAATATTATTTTTCCAAACTAATACTATCTTTACGTTGGTAAAGCAAGTATATGTATCGATTATACGTGATACATACCTAAAGGCTTTCCCTAATACAATGTCTATTAAGAAACAAACAGGAAACATCCCTCTTGGTTAAATATATTTTTGACCTTTATGCTCTTTTTAAAAAATACACATTCAACCGAATATGCTGGCTTTCTACGGTACATACTGATACATATGTGTGAAGTAAAACTAGTCACTTACATTTATTTGACCTCGGAAAGATTGGATAAAAAGAGATTGGACAGAAGGTGAGCGAAAAAAAAATAACACATACAGTAATGATTCATTTATCTATTTTCTCAACTTCAATCATTTGAGGCAGGTCGTCATCTCACCTGCGGAATGTCAAGCGGATTGTCAGTATGGAACAGCGTACTTTAGGGTTCATCTGTTATGTTAGTGCGTGGGAATGGCATTCTAATACTGTTACAAGACCAACAACAGCTAA